TGTGAAAAAAAAGTAAATTTGTTGAAGAGTCAAAAACTGCTTTTTTAAACACAAGATTTTATATTATCATTTGTCTAAAACTGTTTAAAAAGGAGAAATGTAGTTAAGTCAAATATTTTCATAGCTGAAAATTACCAAGTAAACCATATGGTTCTAATCTATCAAGGCCAAGCAACTGTATAAAAAGATTCAATGAAAAACACTGTGCACACGTAGGGAAGCAGTTCAGGATCTTCTCCTGCCTCAGTATCATTATTGTGCCTTTTAATTATTGGACAGGTTGAGTGTGGCTTGTATGAAATGCCCAAAGTGTTTAAGATTTGATTTTGGACTTTTGGGATATTGCATATACATATCTTGGGCAATGTCATCCAATTGTAAACACAAAATTCTTTTATGTTTCATATACACCTGTTGTATATGACTTTACCTGGAGAGCCACAAACAACCATCTGTCCACCCCAGAGACTGTACCAACAGCAGACCAAATGATTCTACCTCAGTCTAGATTGGTGAACCAATGACTTTACTGGGGTTGCAGAAAGAATCATTGGCAAGGGGTCACTTTTAGGCACATGGGTGACTCAAAAAGAGCTGCATCACTGAAAAGCCCATCCCAGCACTGGTGATGGGTAACTCATGAAAGGTCCACCTATGCATTCTCCGAACATTTTGCAGGCAGCTCTGGTAGTCTCTTCCTCCCAGCAATTGTATAAGGCTTACATAAACTTGTGGAGGGGCCTTGTGACTTTTCAAGCTGTCTGACCTTACTGAACCTCAGAAGCTTCATTAGCTTCTAGAGTCTTACAAGTCTCCCTCCCTCCCCTACAAGTTCCAGGCTGGAGGACATATCTATATAACACCGTCTCATGCTTTAACCTGAAGGCAATTTACATAGAATTTTTAAAAGTTATCCTGTATGAGAAACAAAGTTTTATGTTGTGCTGTTTCCTATTTCTGTCATGTCTATGCTCATAAAGTTTTAGATTTGGAAAAAAAAAATGAGGGACAACATGGTAAATATAGCAATGGCCCAGACAGAAGAAAACACCATCATTATGATGAACTTCATTGCATACCACACTAGCATTGTATTATAAAATGACTAAAATGTAAGACTTGGTAGAATTATCTATCACTTGAATTTGGCACCTTTAATTTTACAGATGGGGAAATGGAATTCAAGCAGTGAGCCACGTGTGGAAGGGATAGAAGACAAAAACTTACTCAAGTTCCCAAAGACTTAGGGCAAGACTTGATTACATGTTTCTGACTTCAAGTACAGCGTTCTCTCTACAATTCCCATGAATTATGGAAAGATAAAATGGCATGGCAATGATCTTCAAATACCAACCATGTAGAATTCTTTTATTTTTCATTAATTCAGTCCATATTTTTATTCTGACATTGACTTTACTTTTCGTTACTGCTGCCAAATCCCAGGCTCTTTCCCTCCCTAAACTGAGTTACTGAAGTGGGGTGCTGTTAGAATTTCTAGTCACTCCCTGGACCGAGTTATTGAAGTGGGATGCTGTTAGAGTTTCTGTGTCATCTCCTCTCCTTATGTGGAAAAGTCAACATGATTTTACATGAGGCTAAAGATGAGAAAGCACTACTGAGAGTGATAGTACTTTGTCACTTTGCTGGTTGAAGCAATTAATGAGTCAAGAAAGATGAAGATCATCAGAAAGTGCTTGATATTTGGGGAATTCTGTGGGCAGGAATAACACACTGTGAAGGAGAAATCAATGAGTTCACTTCCGTTTCCCTTTTTTACCTTCATGCTGTTCCAAGGAGTCCCTCTTCCTCTCATAGTCTCTCTTCTAATGAATTACTTGTTCTTTTCTACTCTTCTTTAGCCAAACTTAGAGAACATTAGGCCATTGGGAGAGTTACATGCAATGGTTCCTGGCATTGCTGTTGCCAATTTTCTGCAAGTAGAGTTAAGAATTATGCTGAGGTGTGTGGACTTTGTGAGGGAACATGTTTTATTTACAATTTGGTACTCATGCAGTTACTGTCTCCTCACAAAGCTTGTTTTCTTAACTGTCTTTCTCAGGTTTTGCTAGAGAACGCTCTGTCTGAGGCAATGGACAAAGTCAACTACTCTGTGGTATCTGAGTTCGTGTTCCTAGGACTCTCCAATACATGGGGAATCCAGCTGCTCCTTTTCCTCTTTTCTTCTGTGTTTTACATGGCAAGTCTAATGGGAAACCTCCTCATTCTGTTCTCTGTGACCTCTGACCCCAACTTGCACTCCCCCATGTACTTTCTCCTGGCCAATCTCTCATTTCTCGACCTGGGAATTTGCTCAATTACAGCACCCAAGATGATTTATGACCTTTTTAGGAAACACAAATCCATCTCATTTTGGGGTTGTATAACACAGATCTTCTTTATTCATACTGTTGGGGGCACAGAAATGGTATTACTCATAGCCATGGCCTTTGATAGATATGTGGCTATATGTAAGCCTCTGCACTACTTGACCGTCATGAACCCACGAACGTGCGTTTTAATTTTGGCTGTGGCCTGGGTCCTTGGCCTCATCCACTCAGTGGCCCAGTTGGCTTTTATTGTAGACTTGCCCTTCTGTGGGCCTAATATATTGGATAGCTTTTACTGTGATCTCCCTCAGCTCATTAAACTGGCTTGCACAGAGACTAATAAATTGGAGTTCATGGTCACAGCCAACAGTGGACTCATCTCTGTGGGCTCCTTCTTCATACTGGTCATTTCTTATGTCTTCATTCTGGTCACTGTTCAGAAGCACTCTTCAGGTGGTATATCCAAGGCCATCTCTACTTTGTCAGCTCACGTAACTGTGGTGGTTTTATTCTTTGGGCCATTAATTTTTTTCTATACCTGGCCCTTCCCGTCATCACACTTAGACAAATTTCTGGCTATTTTTGATGCAGTTCTCACTCCCTTTCTGAACCCAGTTATCTACACCTTCAGGAACAAGGAGATGAAAGCTGCAATGAGAAAACTTTACTACCAGCTTGTGAGTTACAGGAAAGTGCCCTAAATGTCCTAAAACCAATGAAAATATGCCTCTGCATGACATGGGTTGTAGACAGTAGGGAAATGACTATAGGGAAAATAAAGCCATTGAAATTTCAGATCTCTATTAAATAGTTTATATACCAGGGTTACATTTAGGAATTTACCATGCTATTGTATATGTCTAGTACCTTAATCAATATGGAAAAGAGAGGCAGCATATGGAAAAAAGGAGCTTTCTATATTTCAGACCCTGTGTTGGATGTTTCATACAAAGTATTTGATATTAATACTTCTGTACAAAGAGTATTTTTACCTTGATAATTTTTCAAAATAAATTAAGGAATGCTTTCTGCTCATTCTTTTTATAATTAGTACATAAAATGTTTCAAACCAAAGTTGATTTTCACCTCAACCCACCAGTTCCAATATTCTCAACCCTTCAATAGGGGCCAAACAGAGACTATGTTCATCAGTTTATGGTTGGAGATTAGTGTATTAGTCCTTTTCACAGCTAAACTTTGTTTTAAAAGGCTAATGTCCTTTCCTGTCTGCAAGCTGCCATAATAACTGATTTGATACCTTTATCCTCTTCCTGCTTGTTTCTTGCATCCTTTGGCTACCTGGAAATGAGTGGACTGTACAACAGAACTGTGGAATGTTAGAACTGGAACTTTAGAGTACATTTGTTCAAACCTGTTTAATAGCTCGTAGAATTCAGGAACAGATACATTTATCGCATGATAGATCCAGGATTAGAGTCACCTCTTTGAATATCTAATTGCACTTGCTAAATTGGGCTCTTGAATTTTATTACCTTCCTCTCTCTGTCCACAATGAAAGCAGAGACCATACAAGCGAGGCATTTACACTCCTCATTGGCACCAAGTTTATGACTACTGTTTCCAAGTTCTTTCTTTATATGTGTGTGTATGTATATCTTCTTTATTATTATTGTGTGTGTGTGTGTGTGTGTATATGAATGTATTGCCTGCATGTAAGTGTACCCATGTTGTACAATGCCCTCAGAGGCCAGAAGAGGGTGTCGGATCCCTGGAACTGGAGTTACAGCCAGTTGTTAGCTGCCATGTGGGTGCTGGAATTCAAACCCGGGTCCTCTGCAGTGCTCTTAACCACTGAGCAATCACTCCAACCCCCCAAGTTCATTCTTTATTTACAGTCCTATAATATATTTCTTGGACAAAGTCCTACCTGTTTTATAATTGCATGATTATATCATGACAAGTTTCTTTTTCCTTATTCATGACTTTTAATTATTTTACTTCTTAAAAAATCTACAATTAAGCAGTGCTCCACTATTTTATTGAATTCTAATAGAATGAACACTTTTGGGTAATCACCTTCACTTTTCCCATTTCTACCAAGATCTGGAAGTTATCTTAACTTTCAAGTTCAGATGAGTATTACTGCATTCCTTTGTATGTTTCTGTTAGTGGATCATGGTTGTCATGACTGAGTGGCTGGGCACTTTAGAAGGGGAAAGACAAGAAAGGTAATGGAAGATGATAATGAGCCAGTTTTATGATATACATGAGTAAAATGACACTAATTTAAAAATTTGAAAAGAAGAAATGGGTGCCTAAATATAACATAAACCAGAGGGAAATTGGCTCTGATTTACAAATAATCCAAATTAATGTCTCATAATCTAATAATAGTAATAATATGTGAAATATTTATTGTTGAGTATGTTTAAATTATATATAGGGGTTCATGATTTTTGGTAAGTCCTTATAATGAATACATCTTATTAATGTATTGGCAGGTTTCTAGCCTCTTTTAAAACGTTTTTTAGTTCTGGGGCTAGAGAGATGGCTCAGAAGTTAAGAGGACTGCCTATTCTTGCCAAGGTCAGAGGTTTGATTCTCAGTACCCACATGGTGACTAACATGGTTACTAACCATTCGTAACTCCAGTTCCAGGGGACCTGACACCCTCTTCTGACCTTTGTGGGCATTGCATGACATAGATGCACTTACATACATGCAGGCAAAACACTCAGACACATAACATAAAAATAATAAATAAAATATATTTTAAACTTATTTAATTCTCTTATTTAGTTCTTTATTTTTCTTTTTTATTCATTTTAAATTGTTAATTCACTCATAAAATATTTGTTGGCATAAATATAGGGTCACTTCAGCAGGTTGAGAGAGATTTCTTTTTGATAAAATTGGTCATTAGCTGAGGATTCTCAGTGAAATTTTTCTTTTTCATACTTAGTAAGTTTTGTTTAAGCCATGCAGAGTGGTGTGGTGTATGCTTATGTCTCATTTATGAGATGGAAGCAGGAAGATCAGAAGTTCAAGGCCAGCTTTGGCTACATACCAATTTCAAACCTAACCTAATCTACATCAGACCCCATATCAAACATACATATGTGTAATCACACAAATGTATGCTTGTGGAAAATGAGAAATTAAATGTTTAATCATTCCAAGAAAAATTCAGGACAAATTTATCATCACTCTTCTTCCCCTTAGCATTTCATTTACAAGTCTGTTTGAAATGGTCATAGATGTTGACATATCAATATTCTCATAAACATTTATAGCCTATTTATTGTTTTCATTCAGTTGTTACCATAACCAGTACCTTTACCATCTGTACCATTTTTATCAACAACAACAAAAAAAAGTTTATTAAACATTTATTATTTGGCAGGTAATATTCTAAGTTGTTTATATGTATTAATTCAATTCTAAAAGAAACCAGGTAGATAATATTAGCATTCATATTTTACAGATTATGGAACTAAAACACAGAAAGATTTAGTAAACAGTCTGAGGACTGTTGGTAAGTGGTAGATCTGTGAAGTAAGTCAAAGCAGCCCTACTCCAGCAGCCCTGCTCTGTCTGAATCACCGTATTCCACTGCCTTCCAGAGAAACGAGTCCTTTTACCTAAACCTTTAAATTCTAAACACATGTTATAACTTATATATCACTATAAAATAATAAACATAAAACACATCAATAAAATAGGCTATTTGAGATTCCTGTTCTGTCATCTTGATATATCATTAAGATATTCATCTCTTTACTATTCAAAGGAAATAAGATTCAGAGGTAAATTTTCTATAAAATAATTCTATGGTCTTCTATCCAAACACATTTTATGCATTGTGGACAGTGGAGGACAGTGTAACATCTACTCCTTGGAGATCCTTATTTCATGATAAAGTTGTTATTTGAGGAAAAAGTGAAGCCTGAGTGGAGGCTTCACAGGGTTCCTTCATTGTTACAGAACCAGAGCTCACATTAGTCCCTGCAGACGATTAACTAGTTTTGACTAGTGCATGATTAACAGATAAAAAATGATTGCCAAGCAGAATTATAGATTGAATATGTCTCTGTTCACAGTAGGCTGTGTTTACCACTGCTCCGCTGTCCTTATCCCAGGAGGCTGGGAGAGTTGGGGAAGATGCCTGCAAAGTTCTTTGTCTTCTATCAATTTTGTTTTGGTTTGTTTTGGCTTGGTTTTGGTTTGGGGTTTGTTTGGTTGTTTTGTTTTTGTTTTGTTTTTTTTGGTATTTTAGAGACAGGGTCTTCCTGTAGTCCAACTGGCCTGGAACATGCTATGTACCTAGAACTTAGAGAGATCCTCTTGCCTCTGCCTCCCAAGTGCTGGGATTAACGGCATGCACCACTATGCCCAGCAATCAGCTTTTGATCCCTGTAGTCACAAGTTTATAAACTGTTTCTCTCCACCCACTCCCCTTCCCACAACAAAAACAAGGCCATCCCATTCTCTCCCCAAGAGGTGGTGATCTTGGACCTTTGGGTTCTGCAGAGTGGGGGTTCCCCTGGGCTTTATTTTATGAAGATGGACTTGACCTAGAGCACCCCAAGGCAAAGGAGGCAGCCTTTCTAGATGGCACATGCATGGTCCCATTTTTCCCAGTTTCTTCATTCTGTTTCTCCTTTAATTTCTCTGAAAGGAATTTCTCTCATTCTACACATGGACTATTTTATTCTCTTATTTTGAAATTGTCATATATCCCAAAGAATTAATGAACTACGTTTTGTGTGCATTTTTTTTTTTTTGACTGAGGTGTAACCTTGCTGTGGTAGGGTTTTTCACACTCTGCATTCATAGGACTTCTCACCTATATGTGTTATTTTATTGGTGGGCAGAGAATCCTTGAAGAAGGTTTTCCATAGTTTACCTTCATAAGGTTCTACCTATATGAGTTCACTGATGCACTCTGCAAGCAGATATGGCAGGCTTTTCAACACTGTTTACATTTGTAGAGCATGTCAGCTGTATGAGTTCTTTGATGAACAGTGGGCTGAGATTTTGGTGTTTAAATAATACTAGTGTACTTTTTAAAAATGACTCCCTATGCTGGAGGCTTCTGATTAGGTTACTCTTTCTCTAAAGGCATAGAAATTAGATACTAGGTTAATAACCTGTCTACTGACATTGAGCAGTATTCAGAACAATTTGCTGTGTGCCGCTTAGAGATGAAATAAGATGAACAATGTGCAATTATAGATTTCTAGGATATCTCCACCTGGTAGAAGAAAGGGTTATGGAAGCATTATGACAGTACAATATATAAATGCCATATGTAGTGTATATATCTATTCCTGTGTATTTTTAACTATCTATTGTGAAAGAAAGTTCCCAGAAAGAACTCTTGCATCCTAGGCTGAATTTCCTTCAAGGGTGACCAACTGATTAACACTTCAATGATTGTGGAGAGTTTGGAATGCTAAAAATCCAGAACCTAACTGTCTGGGGACATCTTTAACTCCTACACCTTGCCTACCTCTGTTTCTGAATTAACATTCTTGTGACTAATAAAATGCATTAGCTTAGCAGACCACCAGTTCCCACACCAATCAAAAAGTTAAGAATGTTGTCAGATAGCATCTGAGACCTATAGTTTTGCTATGATCTGCCTACTGAATGTGTCCAACAACATACTTGAAAAGTGTCTTGATTTATGGCTTTTTGTTGTTGTTGTTCTGTTACTATAAAAACATAACTGTTACCA